GCCAGCCGTGATGCGCCGAGCGAAGCCGAAGCGAGCCGATGTTAGCCGAGTCTTAGCATCCTGGTCGCTAGGCAACGCAAGTCAACGCGGTGACGTCACCGAGGGACATCGCGGTTACTAGGCAGCCGTCAACAACTCCGGACAGCGTGGCTAGCAACAAGGCACCAGGCAACAACTGTCCGATCGAGGCTACTTAAGAAGCAGCGAAGGCTATTCACACCAGAGTTGAAACATAACAGCCGCGTGTGCGATAACCAGTGATAACCAGTCATATCTTGAGTGTGTAATTCAGGGAGACTTGTATAGCTCCCGCATTATTAGTACGTGAATACAAGTGAAGACTGTGTTAAGAGATTTTGTTGTAGGGTTTGTAAAGTGTGGAAACCCATATCAGTGTTATAATTAATTGTAGCCGTTATTTGTAGATTGTTAAATAAACCAATTAACCATCTCTACGGCGTCTTCTGTAACGAAACACGTTACAATATTGTTACTCTGAAAATAATGGCTTAACATATTGTGCATAACTTTTTCAAATACTTTAGAGAAAGTAGTTAGGAGTGAAATTGGCCTGTAGTTTGACATACTAGTCTTGTCCCCTTTTTTGTATAGTAGTCTTACTACTGAAATCTTAAGACAGTCAGGAAAGCTTCCTTTGGATAGTGATTGATTACAGATGTGAGTGAATGGGATACTGATTAGAGATGCAGAAACTTTTAAAAGTTTACTTGTTATTCCATCATAACCTGAAGAGTTTTTGTTTTGAAGGAATGTATTATACTTTTTATTTCAGTTTCAGTGAATGGAATGGTTTTAATACCAGGGAATTTTCTAGGAAATGCCTGTCTTAAAAATGGGATGACATTATCTCCCACTTCTTGATGCAAGTTTACATTTTCTGTAATTGTTAGAAAAAAGTATTGAAGACATCTGCAATTTCTCCTGGGTCCTCAACTGTTTCATCATTTATAAGGAGAGATGGTATCTGTTCAGTCAGATGAGATTTTCCTGTTTCATATTTTATTATATTCCAGGTTGTTTTTATCTGATTATTCGATTTTCTATAAGCCTACAGTAATGCTGCCTTTTAGCCTCTTTTATAACTCTACTCAGGATTTTGCA